AGTAATTTGCAGATTTTAGAAGGATAATGGCTTTGGGAATACATAATGAAGAGAATATAGTGAGGATTGCACTGTAGATTTGATGTTGAAATGTGTAAAAGAAATTGGACAAACATTTATGATGACATGTTTTACATTTCAGATAGAATAATAATATCCAGTAAGTCAGTCATATCTGGAGCTGTCTCATTCTTCATACTACCTGCATATTATTAGTCCATTGATTAATGTGCCATCATTTATTAACCATCCCCTATTGATAGCACAAATAAGGATTTCTTTCTCTTTTTTTAACATGTGAAATGAAAAGTTTTTCTGTGGTAATTTAAGTAGTTAGCATTATGAAACTGATGTTATGATACTAATAAGAAAATACTAATAGCATGCATTCTTTAAAAATTTATTTTTATTTTTTATTTATTTATTTTTCTGAGGCAGAATCTCGCTCTGTTGCCCAGGCTGGAGTGCAGTGGCACGATCTCAGCTCACTACAACCTCCGCCTCCTGGGTTCAAGAGATTCTCCTGCCTCAGTCTCCTGAGTAGCTGAGACTACAGGCACCCACTATCACATTCAGCTAATTTTTGTATTTTTAGTAGAGAAAAGATTTCACCATGTTGGCCAGGCTGGTCTCAAACTCCTGATCTTGTGATCCGCCCACCTCAGCCTCCCAAAGTGCTGGAATTACAGGTGTGAGCCACTGTGCCCGGCCTTATTTTTAATTATGATAGGTACATAATAGATGTATATATTGATGAGGTACATGTGATGTTTTGATACAGGCATATGATGTGTATTAATCACATCAGGATAACTGGGATATCCCTCACCTTAAGCATTTATCACGTTTTTGTAAATGTTAGAAACATACCAATTCCACTCTTTGGTTGGTATTTTAAAATATACAATAAATTATTGTTGACTACCATCAAGAAAACAGTTTTTAGAAACAAATTGACCTTTTCTTTTGCTGGTTTTTTTTTTTTTTTTTGAGATGGAGTCTCTCTGTGTTGCCCAGCCTGGAGTGCAGTGGCGCAATCTCGGCTCACTGCAACCTCCGCCTCCCGGGTTACAGAGATTCCCCTGCCTCAGCCTCCCGAGTAGCTGGGACTGCAGGCGTGTGCCACCATGCCTGGCTAAATTTTTTTTTTTTGTATTTTTAGTAGAGACAGGGTTCACCATATTGGCCAGGCTGGTTTTGAACTCCTGACCTTGTGATCCGCCCACCTTGGCCTCCCAGAGTGCTGGAATTATAGGCATGAGCTACTGCTCCCAGCCTTCTTTTGCTGTTTTTAAAAATTGGATTGCTGTTTAGAATTTATCTAAGTAGGCTGGGCGTGGTAGCTCACGCATATAATCCCAGCACTCTGGGAGGCTGAAGTTGGCGGGTCACGAGGTCAGGGTTTCAAGGCCAGCCTGGCCAACATGGTGAAACCTCATCTCTAACAAAAATATAAAAAATTAGCCAGTGTGGTGGCAGGCATCTGTAATCCCAGCTACTCGGGAGGCTACAACAGAAGAATTGTTTGAACCTGGGAGGCAGAGGTTGCAGTGAGCCGAAATTGCACCATTGCACTCCAGCCTGGGCAACAGATCAAGACTCAGTCTCAAAAAATAAATAAATAAATAAAAATAAAAGAATTTATGTTTTGGCCATATTCCTTGCTGATGGCTGTTTAGATCACACATGATCTATATTCAGAGGCTGTATATCACCTAGAGAGAAACAAATTAGTACTTAGAATCTGTCAGAGATAAAGAGGCAGGAGGGTAGACTGGATAGAAGAAGTCAGCAGTAATCTCCAGAGTTTATTCATCTTCCGTGTTCTCATTTCTGGAATTCCGTGGAAGTGTATCCAGTGCTTGATGCTTCTAGATCATTTTTCAAAACTCATCTGCTAAAGTAGATCAGTTTTACAAGAATCACAGTCATCCAAAAAGAGCAGTTAGCTTGCCATCAGAATCACCAATCCAATTTCCAGACTATGGATAGAAAGAAAGTGAATAGATAGTTCCATTTGCAAACTATTTGTGTTAAATAACACAAAAAACTGCAAAAAGATAGGTAGGTGGCACAGCTATGAAGTGAGGTATCTATAAAGTCCAAGCATACATGCAGAAAACTTTTACATTCTATAATACTCCACCATAGTCAGACAGACAGTACCTTGCTATCATCAGAACTGGTTCAGTAGCATTGAGGTGGTTGCTACTAATGTTGTTGTATATACAACATTTAAATCTTTAATTTCACCATTGGTTGTTATGTGCAATTTTTGTTCTATTAACTGTAAAGTGGGGGAAAAACATTTTATGGATTTTTTTTTTTCTGCAGGTTATGATGATGGTTCTTCCATTATTGATATTTGTGCTTCTGCCTAAAGTCGTCAACACAAGCGATCCTGATATGAGACGGGTAAGATGATTGTCCAGCTGTGGAGTTTTTTTTTTTTTTTTTTTAAGAAACAGAGTCTCTGTTGCTCAAGCTGGAGTGTAGTGGCACAATCAATTTGAGTGGCCTCAAACTCCTGGACTCAAGCTATCTACCTGCCTCAGCCTCCCAAAGCACTGGGATTATAGGTCTGAGCCATGTTTGGCCCTATCTGTGGGTTTTTGAACCATATTGTGATGCTTGCTCTATCCCATTGTAGCTGGGTGGCTTGGTTTTTCTCAGTTTTATTCTAGTTCCCAAGCCAAATTAATCTAGAATTTGTATTAACACAGTATTATCTTCCTGGCATTTAATTAGTTGTTTCCATTAGACTAGATAAATTGTTAGTTCTGCCTGATGAAGGCCTGGATCTCTTTGTATAGCTAAAACATCTTACTGAATCCTAGCCTCTTTGTATGCCTTACTTTTTAAATAGTTGAAATGTATGATAATTCTGGTATACTTAATCTAAATAATTCACAAAATGATTGCTCCTATGACCTGTCTTTACTTTGCAAAACTTCTGAGTACATACTCAGTTTATATGTTCGGACACACTTAAGTAACTCAGATAGACCACGGGGGATGGATAAGTAGAAGAGTGACCTTTAAATTCTATACCACAAAACCATACTGGTTCTGCAGAGGGAGAGGATTTGCTAAGTAGGATGCTTCAAATTTAGTGCCACCACATTTTCTCTTTGAATATTGGCTTCTATTTGAACTCTTCATTTTTTCAAAAATCCGTTGCATATTTTTCCATTCAGCCATCAACAAGTATCTTCTGAGTTTCAAGGTTTTCCATTTTATTTAGTATGTTGATGTGTTGCCATTTTATTAATTGCTGAGTAAATATTTATCAGTCAGTTTCTAGGATCTAGATACTGGAGATTCAGAAATGAATTATAGGCCATTCCTGTCATCAGTAGGCTCATAGTCCAGTTAAATGTAGAAAATAGAATGGATTTATCAAATAATCTTCTTGCTGTCAGGGGATTTTGTGACTTTTCTTTGTTCTTTTCTTTTCTTTTTTTGAGACAGAGTCTTGCTCTGTGGCCCAGGCTAGAGTGCAATGGCATGATCTCAGCTCAGTGCAACCTCCCCATCTCAGGTTCAAGCAGTTCTCCTGCCTCAGCCTCCCAAGTAGCTGGGATTACAGGCACCCGCCACCACACCCGGCTAATTTTTGTATTTTTAGTAGAGTCAGGGTTTCGTCATGTTGGCCAGGCTGGTCTCAAACTCCTGACTCCGTGATCCGCTGCCTCGGCCTCCTGAAGTGCTGGGATTACAGGTGTAAGCCATGGTGCCTGGCTTTTTCTTAATAGAAATGTTTGCTAAGATAGTAGGAGATTACGTTCTGTGGAAGGTAATAGGTGTCTATTACAAGCAGGAATGGCAGAAAAAGATTCATAGGAAAAGAAAAGTTTATGATATTTCAGAATGTTTTATTGGTAAATGTTTGCATTTTTGCTTCAGTGTTAGAAAGTAATACATCCTATGCATTCCTTGTATATGTTAAGCCAATTAACTGTGGCATCAGTAGAAGGAAACATGAAGAGTCACATTTGATTAAAAGTTCATTCCTTGTAAAGTGCTTTGCACATAGTAAACATTGTAAAAAGTTGATTCAAGAGCTTCAGAAGCTCTCTTCCTTGGCACTGCCTGCAGAGGTGGAACCATTTCCTAATTGGCATATGACTGCCCTCAGATCCTTTGTGAAGCTCAAGATCATCAAAAAGAGGACCAAGAGGTTTATCTGGCACCAGTCAGACCAATATGTCAAAATTAAGCTTAACTGGCAGAAACGTAGAGGAATCGACAACCAGTGTTTGTAGAAGATTCAAAGGCCAGTTGGTTATGGGAGCAGCAAAGAAACAAAGTACTTGCTACCCAGTGGCTTCTGGAAGTTCCTAGTGTACAACATCAAGGAGCTGGAAGTACTGCTGATGTGCAGCAAATCTTACTGTGCTAAGATTACTCACAGTGTTTCCTCCAAGAACCACAAAGCAATCTGGAAAGAGCAGCACAGCTGGCCATCAGAGTCACTAGTCCCAATGCCAGGCTGCACAGTGAGGACAAGGAATCAATGGCTCATATGCATGTTTTATTTGTGTTTAAATAAAACCACAAAAACTGGGAGATAAAAAAGAGCTTCAGAATTGAACAGATTCCAAAATACAGTTGATATATGTTTGTAGGGACTCAAGAGCTCTTACCATATACATTGATTTCTTAATTATTGGGGCATGTTAACATATTTGGTTTATGTTTACAATATTTCTTTTCCTAGCCTTATTTGTAAAAACACCTTCTCCTTTAAAACTTAGGAATAGGCCGGGCGCGGTGGCTCAAGCCTGTAATCCCAGCACTTTGGGAGGCCGAGGCGGGTGGATCACGAGGTCAAGAGATCGAGACCATCCTGGTCAACATGGTGAAACCC